CCCACACTTCCAGAGCTTACAATTTAAAGAATTTTCATGTGATAATTGAATCTTAGAATTATGATTGCCTGTAATGGCTCTAATTAAATTATCATTGTTATTGTTTAGTATTATTGACTGTTGTCATCCTAAATTTAACTTATTAAACACAGTGTTTATGGTTATGAGAAGTAGTGTTCATCATGAGATTCAGAGGGTTGGTGATGTTTGTATTAAATATATTACAGTTTTTATGGGCTGTGGTTTGTTAGAAATGCTAACTGAATGAAACAGCATTTATCTTCTTGTCCATAGGTCTTTATAGTTGTAGTTCAATGTATAACTTCGGCTTTCCTGTGAGAACCACGTCCTCCATTCCTTCAATCAACACCAGCAAATTCATCTTGCACCCACTGCCTGCTTGTATAAGGCCTTCAGTAATGAGCCCCCACCTCAACCACCTTGAAAATGGCAACTGCAATGTTTGCTGATATGTTGGTTAACACCAAACGCCTGGCTTTCACTCGAAAGCAGAAGTTATATAGCATTTATCTTGTTCCATCTAAACTTTTCAACGCATATACAGTGAAATCTCGATGCATCGTTTTTGACGGGGGAGAGAAATCAAAACGATGAATACGGGAAAACGACAGTTGCGGGAAAGCATTAAAAATGAGAAAAAATTAAAATAGTGCGTTTTTCTCTTTGGAACACACAAAACCTGTTTCAAAGTTACTTCTTTTAGCAAAAAAAGTCTTTAATGGATAACTTTACGTTTTAGGCGAAACAGATCCCTTTCCATGTTCAAAACGTTTTCAACACCACAAATATTGTTCGCATAAAAGAACGAATGCAGCATGTGCTACGGGAAACTTCGGCACAGCTTCGGGCTTGCATTCGTCGTCTTCCCCTTCCTCGCCGTTTTCTCAGAAACGGCGATCGTCACACGATTCATTGACATTGTCGACCACGCATGTGGCAAGCTCACTGTGCGTCTTTCGATATTTATTTATCTCTAAAGCGGTCATTTTGAATTCTAAAACATTGCGTAAATTTCGTTATAATTTCTCAGAAACGATCAGTGCGAGAAAATTGTGGGCCAGGACTAAGATTTTTGAACGATTGGTGCGATAAAACGGCAGTTCGACGAACGATAGAAGCGAGAAAATGTAACATTTTATATAGGACTAATCAGGGACCGAACGAAACAGACGATGCATCCGGGAAAACGATAGTTTGGGTAACGATGGATAGAGGTTTTACTGTATATTTTATGCAAAACTGTTACATATTGTCTGTGAGTATATTGATTGTTTTGAGTAGTGCATTCACTGGTAAAGTTGAATAAAACTCACTTCCTGTCTGCCAGCAGGTACTGCTGTTATTTTGGTAAGTTTATTTTATTGTTTTTATGGAGTGATACTTGATTTGTGAACATCAATCTGAGGATTCTGCAGTTTCAGCAAAGAAATTATGTGCATTCATTTTTGTCACTGAATTCACTGTACTGTAGAATGTGTTGTCACTGTTACTCCACTTTTGGTATTTCATTTTGCATTTTGCATTTTAAATAAGGGATGTCTTTACATTGTGTAGGCAACCGAATGTTGTGGTTGAGTGGTTATCACTCCTGCTTTGTATTCGGGAGGTTACAGATACAAATCTCTGCCCAGAGACCTGCTATCCTGAGTGGGGCTTTGCATGGTTTTTCCTCAGTTCCTCCATGCAAATGCTGGGATAATGCCTTAAATTGGGCCACGACTGTTTTCTTCCACATCCTTTCCAATTCATCATTTACCATCATATTCTCATTTGACACTATATAGCTACTGAAAAAGTGTTGTTAAATGAACTATAAATAAATTTGTGTAGACAGAAAAATACATTATTATATACACCTGGATTTAGGCCTGGTTTTCTGAAATGTTACACAATATTACATATTATCAACCCTTGATTTTTTAAACTTTCAAGTTATTCTGATTTGCATAAATGTAGTGTGATTTTGCCATTCCTCAGCTGCATAATGTTATGACTGACATTCCTGTTTCTACTTTCTCTCAGTTTACAGCTCAGCTAATTTTCTTCTAAATTGAAGATTTACCATTGGTTTTTTGTCAATTTTTCTTGTTTTTGTTCTTGTACAACAACATGAATTATCAACAGCAGCATTCATTTCCCAGAGAAACATTTATTACCATGTAACAGATTCATGAAGAAACCAAACACTGACATGATGATTTGTGGTGTTTACTCTGCCTGTGTGCTTTGTGTAGATGTTCCTGTCAGCCCTGATAATGGAGGCAATGACAGTCTTTGAAACATTCAGTTGTACCATGGCTGATTAGCTGAGAAGACTTTATTGCATTCAGTCACTGTGAAATGCTTCAGATATTACAAATTCAGAAGTATCTTTTTATATCAATCAAACAGGGGATGACTCTGCATGTACACATAATTAATACAATTAATTCTTCTCAGGTGGTTAGACATGTAAAATTGATGTCACAGTCCAACATTTTTTAACCCATCTTTGTATCTGCCAGCCCTGTGGTCACTTGGGACCAGGTATGGACATTAGGGTGGGTTCTGGAGCTCCAGACATAATCCTGTAATTTCTGTTTGTGTGACTGGAGGATGTGGGTATTGCTGTGGCTGAGATGGATTGTTCTGCTTGTTAACTTTGCTCAGCATACTTGTTTGATAGTGTTATGCATGGGACTTTATAGTGGCTGCATAGTATTCAACACTTAGATGGCTGTCTTCTGGCTTGTAGCTCCATATAGTCTAGTAGAATTTTACCAGACTGCTCAGCACTACAACCCAGAAGACAACCATCTTCAAACTCACTGCTGTGAAAACCTCAAATCCTATATAGTAGACCTGTGGGTCAAACACCTTATAGTCCAAGAACAGGGTGGTCATAATATTAACATGGTTCTGACAAAATGTTTGATGGTAATGTCTCCACTGCATGATTTATATGGTTTCTGGAATCCAGAGATAAATATACACATTTAACCACCTGTAACCTGTCGGACTCCATTAAATGATGTGAGGGATATGGCAGGTCTTAGAGAACCCCTCCTGCTATAGTAATGACAACTACTTCACCATTAAATGTTCCACTCTGTTTTCACAAAGGCTTCTGAATGGTGCTATAACCTTTATAGTGGTAGTCAACAGACTGCTTCTATCTTATTTACAGAATAATCTAGTCATGACAGTATAGTTATATAGCATTTCCTACATAGTACTATCTAGGAAATGCTATGCTTAAGTTCTACGAGCTTTATTGACTTGGAACTAGTCGCACATTCCCACTGTATTATTTACAACGGTGAAAATACTAGGCAATCTTTATTGAGTCAGTTTTGGGGAAAGAGACATTTCTGGAAGGAGGAAACATCTACTTAATTATAAAATAAATATATTTGCAAGGCAGCATTAAAATACAGTTTTATTTATTTAAAATATTAAACATTACAACTGTAACTTTAACATTAATCTAATGTAATGAAATATATTTAGTATCACATATATAAGCAACATATTTTAACAGCAATAAGCATAATTTAAATTTAACTGTCATTCAGAACAATTCTCCTTTTTTGCCTGTAAATAAGGCAATTTAATTTCAGTCACACTTGTCAGTAGACTCATTTTCCTTTACAAATTTTGATACAAAAGCTGTGGTATATAAAACATAGAGAATTATTATAAAATGGCAATATTCATTTTTAATAATTATTCAGACATTTTATGTGTGTGTAGAGATCATGCCTTATAAAATCAATTTTATTTTCCACCAAATGTCCACATACTAGTTTTCCACCTTCTGTATAGACAGTTACAAGCTGTTAGAAATCAATCAAATTAACACTACTTTCAGAGACATTTATCTCCTTGTGAATCATTGGCACTCAAAATGGAATAACATACTAAATAAATCTAGGTAATGAATGTTAAAAGAACTGGCATTTTGTTTCCTTGGATTTTCTGGTAGAATTTAATTGGCTGAACGGCTAGGAACCATTAACTCTGCAACATATAGGCATCAAAGGTGTGACCAAATTATCTGCTTGTATCTTCAGAGATGTCAAATGTGGAAAATTATTGTGTATTAGGCAAACATTTTCCAGTGTTGTATGCCAAAGCTCATTTCTACGTGTGTTTTGTTCAATATGCGGATACATCATATTTATAATATTTATAATCTTTATTACATTCCATGGATCCATAAGTTAGTCAGATGACAATAGGTTGTGTAAAAAGTCATAATAATACAATACATATTATAAAGTACAATTCATTCTATTATATAAATTTCACATAATACAAACAAAGGATTCACCTAAAGCAATAAGTTACAAATAAATCTACTCATTACATGCAGAAGATAAAATATCACTTATTTGTAAAGAATAGAAATTCATCGACAGAGTAAAAGGAGTGTGTAATTAAGTATCTTTTTAATGCTACATTAAATTGTGCCTTGTAATTTACAAGACTTGTGAGACTTAATGGTACACTGTTGAAAATTTTGATACCTGCATAATAAGCACTCTTCTGAAAGCATGAGAGTTTGACACCTGGTCTATGATGAATTTCTAGGTTTGACACCAGCCATTAATCTAACAATTTTCTTTTGTAAAGTGAATATCTTTTTGCTGCTTGATGCATTACCCCAAAAAATTATTCCATACTTCATTATAAAGTGAAAATAGGCAAAATATACTGATTTGAGTGTGTCAGTGTTGCTGACATGCAGCAGAGATCTAACTGCATAACATGCATTTTTTGGGGAATAGATTGTAGCACATTGTCTGTTAGTTTGAATGCTGCATTACAGTGGATACACCTTTCCTGAAGCCAAATTGTTCTGGGACCAGTATGTTGTTAGTATGTATATGATGACTTAATCTATTGTACATAATCTTCCCAAGTACTTTAGAAAAAGTAGTTAACAGTGAAATTGGCATGTAATTTGTCATACTAGTTTTGTCACCTTTCTTGTACAGCGGTCTTAGTATTGATATTTTAAGGCGGTCTGGGAAAATGCCTTTGTATAATGAGTGATTACAAATGTGGCTTAATGGATGACTAATTAAAGCTGAACAACCTTTCAAAATTGTACTTGTTATTTCATCATAACCCGATGAGTTTTTTGATTTGAGGGACTGTATTACACTTTTCATCTCAGTTTCAGTGGTTGGAATAATATTAAGACCAGGAAATACAGATTTTAAAAATGAAACAGCATCTTCTGCCCCTGCTTGATGTAAATTTAAGCTTTGAATATAAAAATAACACCCACTTTTAAAATATTCTTGAAAGTAATACAAATTAACCAATTTTAACATTAATACCACATTTGCTACCTAGATTTCCATTAAAAATGTGTGTGAATTGCATGTATCTTGGGAATTAAGAAAGAGTAAAATATCTTATGAAAAGTAGCCCATATAAACCCTAAAATGCTTAATATTATTGACCTAAAACCAACCATTGTTTCTGAGCATTATTTTATTAGAAATATTCCAAATATTTTCTTGCAATAGAAACTCCAAACACATATTTTGAATTATAACATGTATTACTTAAAAATAATTTCTTATTCAGGTAGTATAAGATTTAGAATTCATACTGATCAAGTCATATAAACTTCCAAATCTTCTTTCACTTTCTCCTGGGAAAATATAAATTAGTAAGGTAGTGAACCTTTCTATATGTTCCTTTGTATGAAATTAGTTCATATTTATTTCTAATAAGCATTCATTTATGCAGTCTCAGAGAGACATTCACACATCAATGGAAGATTACAATATTTAGACATACAATTCATTAGTTCTAGTTTTTAATAATTTCTACAATATACATATTATTCTTCGTAGAATTGATGGTTCCTCATATAATTATATGTGTTTGTGTGTGTGAAGTGTTTGTAGATAAAACAAAAGTTATTGGTGTATGTAGTTATACTTCAGAACTGAGTCCAAAGAACAGTTTTTCAGACTTTTGCACATTTTTGTTAGTGTTAAAATATTCTGTGCATAGCTTATGCTCAAACCATGGTACAGTACAATGTACCTCACTTAAAATAGAAAATCTCTGGTGAGATGACAAAACTATGTTTTACTGACATGTACATTTTAAATATATTAACTGTGCTTGCTTCCTAAATTGTCAGTGAAGTACATTGTCTGAAGTGTAGTAGAGTTATAATTGATTGATGCTGTTGTAAACAACAGTATACTTTAACAAAGTGTTAGAGCAGTGAAGTAGGTTTATGTGTTGGTGGAATTATTGCATGCATCCAGAACATGAAGTATAATAATATTGTCTGGATTGGCTCATCCACATGTAATTCAGACTATATATTTCTACTGTTTTGTAAAGGAGATGGAACATCAAAATCATATCCTGAGCCATATGAGTCCAATCCAAACCTCCATACCCTCATTCTTAGGGCACATTGTAGTAATATCCTTCAATCTAGACCTGGTCTGTTCATTTGCAACCAAACTTTACATGCATTTGTCATCTCTCCCCTACTCCATCCATCTCATCCTCCTTGATTTAATCATCCGAATAATATTTTATGAATAACTATGATAATGATGATAATAAGGGAATTTGCATGAGATGACAATGTGCAGTAGTCAGTCACTGATTTTGATCTTATCTTGCATACTATAACATGGTATTTGTTGAAGATGGCTGTCTTCTGGGTTGTTGTGGCATGCAGTTTGGTAAAAGTTTACCGATGTTTCAGAGGTCATTGCTGCCTCCATCATCAGGGCAATGATGATGATGGAGGTAGCAAGGATCTCTGAAACATCGGTAAACTTCTACCAAACTACATGGTACAATAACCCAGAAGACAGCCATCTTCAGACTCGCCACTGTGGAAATTATAAATCCTACATGGTATTTGCTGCATGCATTTTCACAATGCATGTAGATGTAACTATTGTTTGGTATGTGGAAGTGAGTCAGTTTACACACTTTGTGACAAAATACTCACAGCATGCATTATTCATAGAATTTATTTAACCTTTATTTATTATTCTTTCCAGAATATGAAAATCTGTAAATTGTTACACATACATAGTCTCAAAATTAAATGAACATGCTTTTCCTGTAGGTTGTGTATTGTAGGAAAATTGAAATGGGATTTGTGTTTTCCAGTGAACATGAAAGGTTAGGAATGGCTACCCACTATGGACCAAATTTCAGGAAAATTATGCAGCTGGTTTACCTCTCACTTACAACACAATGTTAAAATATGTATTACAAAAGTATTATCTAGTTTATAAGTGGTCTGTAATTGGGTGTTTAAAGCAGAAATTTTTTTGAAGACTATTTATTTTGGAAGTCATCATCCATAAGGACTAGTGATTAATGTATCAATAAATTTTCCCAGAAGTATCTCATGAAAGTCTGGAATGTTTAATTTCCAGCCTCTAAGAACAAATGTAGATCATTGTTCTGTAGTTAATAATGTGTCAGTTGAAATTCAATTCTGATGGAAGTTTTTTTGTGTCTTTTACTGGTTGTATACTCTTTTTGATAGTTGGAGTAGTGGAATTTTATATTTCTTGTCAGGACACAAACTCCTTCTCAATGCTGTCCAAGATCTGTTGTTCTGAGAGGTCATAGTCTGGAACACTATGTGGATGTAACATGACAATATCTTCTGTCCTAAACATGTTAAAATTGTATAAATACCATCAATTTTAGTTGAAGTGAGAGTGGGAAACTGTTGAACTCTTAACAGAAATAAGGTACTCACGCATACTCCCTATTATTTCTGTCTGAATTGAATGAAATTGATGTTATTATTCTCTGATGTTAATTAATGAGAAGTAGGCCAATTTCCATTTTGCATTAACATTTATGGATCAGGTCACATGCAACAGAAGTTATATGAAAGAGGAGGGAAATTTTGTGAACAGTAAATATTTTTGTAACAAAACTTTGTCCACTACTAAACAGATTGTCATCATGGGTGAATCCAAGTGTCACATCATGTGAAAAATAGAAAACATCTTCTGGTCTAGCTATAACAGTCATTTTATAGAAATTAAGTACATATACCCACATACACAATCTCACAATCTAAACACATGTGGGATAGTAGGTGAACCAACCAACAGTTCATCACTTGATTATGCTTCTCTTATTTGTATATTGAAATATACTCTTTTAGGGTTACATATTCATTATTTTACTGATATGATATGGGAGAGAAAGAAATAATGTTGGCAGCCATTAGAGCAGTGTAAAATAAAATAAAATAATTGGTTATTCCACAGGAACATTTTGTGTTAATATCTGAAGGGGAAGTCAGATGAATTTAATATGGAAGAATGATCAGATAAAGTAATGGAAGGAGGAAAGACATGTAAACAAAGTGTGATAAAAGGTTATGCTGTTGTCCATAACTTCACTACTAGATGAATGAAGTAGTCAGCTTCATGATCTAGCCACTTTACCCA